TAGTTATACAAAGCAAACTTTTACCATCAAGCTCGTGTTTGCTGGGGCAAAGAAAATCATGGATATCTCAGGAGTATTTCCATAAAAATTCCCTCTGCGCGGTAGCTATACCGAGTCAACGATGCGTTGAGCGAAAAGTACCCGAATTTGATTCTTCGAAACAGCGGTGTTGAAGCAAAACAATGCCAAACCTCACACCGCAAAAGAGAACTAAGGAAAGTCATTGATGAATCGGTGAAAGAGGAAGTTTTGCCGTACTCACTCCACAGCCCAGATGCTGCGCCCTCCTAAGCACCGATTTAGCTCAATGAAACATTCGATGCGTCAAAGCGAATTAGAGACATTTGGTCAAACTGAAGAAGCATGCCAGGAGTTTTTTGATTGAAGGATCGGTAAATGGCTTTTCAGCAGATGCGGAAGCTTGTATATCGTTGGCAGGCCGTCGTTTAATAATTATGGCTTTTATTTTGAAGTAAAATTGTCGTTGTTTTAGATTGAATCTCTACATACATATACAGCCCGATACACGTGTTTCGATCTTGCGATCTCATCAGTCGGGCAGTTATCTTTTGCCAATCCGTGTGGGTGCTTCAACCCCCACATTACAATATATTAAATACACTAGCCAAGAAGCAAGTAAGTGTACAAAGCTCCATGTTCTCCGAAATTTCACTGGTCATAGAGTATAAAATCTTCGTCGTCGCTAACTCTTAGTGTGGGGACTGGAGCACCCACACAGGGTTGGCAAAAGACGAGGAAAGGTAGCTGCCGACTGACGAAATCGCAAGATCGAAACACGTGCATCGGGCTCCATAGGTCAGCCCTCTTTAATAGGCCACTAATATGCTGGACTCAAATAATGATTATCAGGCCTATTGAGATTTTAGCTGTGGTCTTAAAAAAACGCTCAAGCGAAAGATATTTATACACGCACTTTGATTTTCAGGAGGTGTTAAAAATCTTTTGGCAGAAGTTTCAGCAGCTTTATGTACCGCCTCATATTACGTGTGATTTCGTGGCGCTCTTCCCTAAGATTCATTAGAATGATAGTAAATGTCCGAAACGTTTTTGATGTCTTACGCATGATGTTTCGTGATCTTGCGGGAGGATGGTGACTTAACCACAATTTCGTAGAATAATTCAATGATGAAACGGGTGATGCCGTCGAAATGCACACATGCCATTGACCTACCAACCTTAAAATGGCTTTGAAAATTTTTGCTGATTATATTGATAACTATTCTTCAAGCAAACATGTCATGTGCTCTATTGCGGGCTCTTTCACAGCCCGATACACGTGTTTCAGCTTTGCAGCCTCGTCAGTTGGGCAGGTCCATCGTCTTCAGCCAATCCTCGGGGCCCCTACATCCTCCTTTAGAGAGGTAAGAAACGACGAATCGCTTCTTTCGAGTACTTTCCTAATAACATGCTCAAAATTAAATACATCTCAAAATTATGATTCAAACCGATCTTGTGATTTTTTATTTGACGGCTATTAAGTTAATCGTTCGTCGTCGCCTACCTCTCTATAAAGGGATGTAAGAGCCCTCGAGAGGTTTCTCTAAAAAAGAAGGGCCTGCCTACTGACGAGGCTAACACGTGTATCGGGCTGCACAAGAGCCCATAACAGTCTACATGACATGTTGGCTCAAATAAAAATCGTGAGATATATTCAATTTTGAGCGTGATTCTTAGAAAACACTCGAGACTAGCTGTAGATTACATTAAATGTTTATAGCGAGGTTTCGAAAATAGTCGATTGAGAGTGTCTCTATATATTCACTACCAGCCGTAATCCGTCGCCTGCAGAATTGGTTAACACAATATAACGTGCTATCACTATGACATCGCCCCATTCCTGCTATAAGGTAGGGTTCAGCGTGAGCAGTATGGCTCAAATTTGGAGCTTTTGAGGACAAACAAATATCAAGCTCTTCACTTACTCCCAATGTTGCTCAGGATTGCCCTTTTAATCAGTAATATTATTATGTCTCCAAGTGAGTTTCTGAACTTGATCTAAAAATTCAAAAATCTGTTTTCCAAGTAATTGAAAGTACCAAACAGCCTAAATAAATAAATAACCAATTGCCCTTGCGTCAGTTCTTATCTGCATCTTTCCGAATGTTCCGGATCTGCTTATCTGAACCTTAGAAACCGTCGACCAAATCACCGGCTGAAAAGACGGATCTTCTTCAATGGCTTCATTGATTGCTTCTCGATCTATTTCACGCGATCTTTCGGATCTTGATTGATCGCCAAATAAGTATCGCCAATTCCAGACATTGCAGACCATTTATACGCCGTAGTTCTACCCGCAACTTAGCAGCTATTCGCACGATTAATGTTGTCAAATGCAGTTTGAAAATTGTGCCTGAATTGGATCTGGTAAAGTAGTAAGTTGCGAATGAATTCCCGTGACAGTTTCGTTATTGGACAAGTTTGTACAAAAATAAGGAACGATGCGCAAAAAGACAAGTGACACAAATTTTTATCACTGCTAGAAAATGACCCAAATTACACATAATTATATTTGGCAAAAATGGGCTTTGAGACAGCAGAAAGCTGCTGAAGGAGCAATATAACTGCCTCATTTCGTTGATCAGCATTTGAAAAATGCATCACCACCTTAGGAGAAGGGCTTGTGCACCAAAACAACTATGATATGTTATGGGAGAGATTGACTTTATCATCAGTGTGTTGATGCATCAGAAAAAAAATTTTTTTTGTAGGCTGAAGATGCAGGATGTTTGCAGAAACTCTGAAAGATCCCTTCAGGATGTGCAAATTTTTTTTGTGTGGCAAATTACAAAACAACTGGAGAAGTAATACTCTTCAAGCACTGCGACGATCGGCAAGTGGTAGCAGTACAGAAGTCGGAATAATAATAAGTAACGACACATCGGCTTGGAATTAATACAAGAATAGTAATGAATCGAAGAAATGTCAATGAAGAGCAGACGTGCAAACGCAATCACTAAATTTACTATGAAGCTTCGTCGAAAAGAAATCTCAAATATTCATAACTATTGTACTCATCTCTTGCAGATCAAGTATAAAATATTTTCTTTTCAGAATCCAAATCACGGAACTGTTCTTCAGTTATAACCGACATCGCTACTGACTGATGCCCACTCTTACGCTCGTCGAATATTTTTAAGTTCCAGTATTTTTTTTGAATAGCCAGTTAGACCGAATAGAATGAAATCTAACGAATGATTTTTTGGACCTCAATTTTTGCGCACTCACCCAAAACTACTGGACGGCACAGTATGACATTTACTTAAAACGGAAAGAATATGCACACACTTTGTTGCAAAAATTAGATATAAGCTCATAAAACACATAGTCCACTGTGTAGACACAAACACCTACAAAAACTGTAAACTATCATGAAAGTTTGGACATCTGTTGCTTACTAATGATTAAGTGGTCTCAGTGTTTAGCAAAAAAAAATCAGGAGCTGAAATGGAGAGACAAAGCAGAGACAAGGAGCGCACAACGTGATGAAAAATGAATTTATTTCACCTTATGTTTTTCAGTAGAAAAACTGTCAATATTACAATAATCTCACAATGAACGACCCCACTGGCTGAGCGTCAGGATGAATCTGTCATATAACGGCAGCTATGTGAATTGACTTTAACGCATTCCTGGAAATCTCTTCCCTTACCTGCCCTCTAAGACGTGGTTTGCGAGCGCATGCCAGATCTGGGATGAAATTTCACTTGTTCAAGAGCACTGGCTCGGCTTTTCACAAATTATATTCCAAAAAATAAGAATCCCACTTAATGGGAGAACAAGCAGTTTATATTAAGTTTTCTCATAAGTTTCGACATTAGAGCAATAACCATTGAATCTAAAAACATACATGAATCCTTCAATTCCACTATCAATAATCGCTCGCTAGCAAAATATGGGAGATTTGGGAGATCATCAGAATTTCAGGAAAGCCGCATACATGCCTGGCATTTTGTATAACAAACTCTCGTTCTCGTTTCTCTCGTCTCATATATCTCGTTTCTGTTCTCTCGTTTATTCGCATTTTTTTGCGTTTCATAGAGATTCTTAGGTATTTTCGTACTAGATTTGTGATTGAACCTTCCTCTATCGTTCTCAGGCGCAGGCTAGCGTGGCTTGTCCGAAGCTTCGGGAGCCAATAAGCACTTCGTGAAGCGGTTTTTTTTTCAAATAGCTCTATCTGCAGTGATTGAAATGATATCAAATGTTTTTGCTACTGAACCTAACGCAAATTCACACTGATATTTGTTTGCTTTTATAGCGGAAGTTGGGTACGTGTGGCGCAATCACGTTATCACACTGCCTTGTCTATTTCTAAACAAATTACTCACTTTACGCTCTCAAAATCAATTTTATCTCGCTCATCAGACTATAAGACTGAAAAGCAATGTCTTTATGAGTAGAGCAACATTGTTTGGATTTAGACGAGCTTGTTGTACTCACTTTCATAAATAGGTGCACGAAGATTTCAAGCGCCTAATCTGCGTCGAAAACATCTCAGTACGGTGTGTGCTTTGTAGTCCCAAAGCATAATCCAGCTTCTTTTATCACGTCGTGTTCAGTGGCCTGCATATCATCGATTCCATTCTACTAAAATAACTCGTTCTTGAAGATGTGTTGTGAGTTATTTGCAACAGCTAACACTTCTCCGTTAACTGACAAGCAACTTCGAATGAATTTTTCTCTGAACAAAGACTTCTCATTAGACTTTTTGTAACTTTTGCTTGATTCCCGCATGAAAGCAACTATTTTCAAATTTTTTTCCAGCTCTGTAGCGCTAGAAATGAAACTCCACTTCACACTAGTCGCGCATTATCATGCTCATATTTCGCAAGATTAAACTCTTCCTTCAGATAATTGATAAACAGGCAATATCGTAAATCTAAGAAAATCGAGTGATGAGCAAAAACATAACAACAGCGTAGAGATGTAAAAATGTTGCTAACATAGAGGTGTTTTAGAAAGAGTGGTGGTGCAAAAGTACCTCTATGGTGTAGTGGTAGTAGCACAAGCGTCCTCGGTATGGATGGAACGCGGGTTCGATTCCCGCTTGAGGCATTGTTTTTGCTCACCACTCAATTCCCTTAGGTTTTGCGATACATAACACTAAGAAATATGCAGTAAAAGTTCTAGAAATTTTGATAGCGCATATCACGGAAATTTCAGAAAAAAGGTTGGCTCACACCACAATGTCATGAAGGATAAATTAGTGCTCCACACAGTTTAGCAGGACAACTTCCTCCTGCCTTTATCAATCATTCGATAGCGCAGATTACGACGAAATCATAGCCATGCTTATATCTGAAAAGACCGTTTCACTGTAGAGTAGCAGCGAAAGTAAGATCGAGCATCAAACACGCCACGCATTGCCTGCGCCTGAAAACGATAGAAAAGTTTCATTCACAAATCTAATACAAAATTATCTGAAAATCTCTATGAAAACGCAAAAAATTGCGAATAAACGAAGAAAGTTTTTTAGACAAGGATGCACGCGTGTATGAACGATTTTTTCTGCTTCAACGTTGTAAAAAGGCTTTCCTGAAATTTGGAAAAGAGGAGCGTGAACAAAAAGATTACCTGCGATAAAGCACGATAACGCTGAACGGATAAGAAAACAATTTCAAAAGCTCTGTGTAGCCAAATTTATGAGCAATAATGAGAGATACGTGTAAAACAAACCTTATTTTTGGTGCTAACTGTACCACCTGTATCACATTCCGTCCCGTTCATTGTCGAGTGACTCAAGCTGGCGCCAGCAACACTACCATTTTCCCTATAGCGTGCAAGAGAAGCCCAGTGTGCCATTTTCGCTCTTTCCACGAAAAAATCTTACCAACGGGTCGGTGGTCTTCCTGTAGAGCGCTTGTTGTCCCGAGGAATCCAGTATGTAACGGCTCTCGTCCGTCGGTTGTCGTTGAAGCGCTTCACGTGTCTGGCCCACCTTATTTTCGATATCCTGGCGTGTAGAAACGGCGTCTCTGATTTTCGATCGTTTACGTAGGTCGGAACTTCGGATCCTTTCTCTTTGCGAGATACGCGATACTCTTAGCCTCGACCTTTCGACTGCGCTTCAATAACGCCAAGTGATATTTCATCCTGCTTACGTAGCGACGAGGTTGTGCTACATACATAAGAGCAGTAATAGTCGTCGAGTCGATAAGGTGGACACGGAGTCGAATGTTATTTATCCTCTTTGCTAAAACTTCGATAATCTTAAGCGTTCCCCAAGCCGGTCCTTTCTTTCTGTTTAACTCTTGAGCTAGATCGTTCGTCACATTGTCTTCACGACGTAGATAGATGGCATTGGAGCATTCGAAGACATTCGTTTCGTTGAGCGTGAAGGAAGACTTTATGCCCACTCCTTCCTCATAAGCATTGTTTCTTTAGATTTAATTGAAATCCAACCTTTTCCACAGGCGTTGTCAAAACCGCTTAACATTCGTTGCTCTTGGCTGATGCGTGGTGTTATGAGGACGATATCATCAGCGAAGCGATTATGGTACTCCCATATCGTCCCATCCTAATGTTGTCATGACGTTATGGAAAGTGGCAGTGAATAATTTTGGCGAGACTATTGAGACTCTTGGCTTTCATAGCGCCAATCTCGAAGATTCTGAATGAGCTGGTTGCATTTTTATCAATGTTGCCAACAGCGGTATCTTTCCAAGAGCTGACAAATGATTCAAATATATCCTACTTACACGCAGTTCTGAGACTTCGTTGTTTAGATTTAGCAGCCTTCTCTCTTTTCCCCGAAAAATGGAACGCTGTGAGAAGGAGACGATGATCTGATTCCTGCAGAACTTAGGAACAACAGCTACACCGGTCAGGCAGAACCTTCGATTCATTAAAAGGTGGTCTGTTTCGTTATGGTACTTTCATTGGGACTCCGACGTCCACCATTGAGAAAGAGTTTTTGGAATTGTGCGTTACCATGGATGTTTCGGTCGTCATTATAAATTCAGAGAGCCTCTCACCCTGTTTGTTGCATTTCAGTCTGCGAAATCCATTGTGACGCTCTTCGGGCGATAAATTCTGGTCCAATTTTCGATTTGAAATCTCCAATAATGACATAAAAATGTGCGTGATTTTCTCTGAACATTTTTACCACGTCCATACGAAATGCCAAGTCTTCGTCATGTCTTGATGTTACTGTGTAAGCAAAGAAGATGGTTAAAGCCGGCAATGATCCACATCGTTTTAACCGCAGTCGTCGGAAGCGGATTGTTAGTTGTTCAAATGAATCGATGTTCACGGTTGAACTCTATATGAAGAGGACGTCAACGCCGCCGACACCTCTACGATCGCATGTTCCCAGAAACAATTCTTCTCCGGTGTCATACACAGCGTGAGAAGAATGACCCCTATTCGTCTTAGCCACGCCAATGACATCATACCTCATCCTTCTTGCTTGCATTAGTAGATCTTCTACAGCAGATCCAGGTGCAAGTGTTCGTGCATTATAAATAGAATCGTCAATTTAGTTCGTCCCGATTTTGGGAGCCTAGTTGCGGCAAATGGTCTTAGCAGCTTTTCCGTACTCTCCCTACCCGACGCTGCCGCACCGGAGTTCTTCCTGGGTCATGGAAATGAAGTCCATTTTAACTGCCGTTTTGCGATTTGAGACGTGGGAGGGAGCTCACGAGTAGCTAGCCACTTGAGAGAGAGTGAGCAGGACGAGCTTATCCGTTGGAGGCGACTCCTTACCTCCTCTCAGGCAGCTCCCGGCAGCTTGATTGTAGGCTTTCGACCAGACTAGCAGAGAAAAGGTATGTCAAACTGGTACTGCAAAAGTAAGACTCAAGCGCTTTTCTGAATACATTCTCGTCTCTGAGAAGCACATGGTCGCGTTTGGTTCACGTTTAATCTATCCACCACCTGGGGACGCTCCATATGTCCTTGCGGCTGACCGGGCGGGATCTTTCAGAAATGGAGACCCATCACTGGTGATACAGCTATCTATGAAGCCTTTTTAGAAAGTCAATACATTTTGAATTCGCCGCGAGTCAAGCTGTCGAATGATTATTAGTTGTTAAGTGTAAAATCTTTTACCAGAGAAAGAAGTCTCTCTGAAAATGTCTAACTGATAACGGAGAGGTAAGCAATAAATCAAAATTTCGTTACATGGAAATCGAGAACACTTATCTTGATCAGCTGACGCGAGGTTGGTAGAGTAGTCGTAGAAGTTCGGCGGACGTTTCGGTGACCCGCCTTCTTCAGAGCCTGGGCGTATGTAGTATTACTCTGTTTGAAAGACTGGGAGGATTTTATTTATATGCCGCCTAGGTCAGATTAGGAGATCCAAAAAGAAAGGGTGCGAGGTATCATGTGATGGTGACGCATTCGTCTTTTTTGTTCATTTCGGGGTTTTTGGCGCTTATCCAAAATGCCTCATGAGTTTTGCGCGTGGACATTTTTGATTCCTGCGCTGGCATGGGAACAGTTAGGATTTTCTCGATTTTCATATACCAATTAATTATGCCAGGGCTTTTGGAAAATTGAATTTTTGAATTGTTGCGATATGTACAGCAAGATATTCTCGACTTGTTAAAGACGTATTGTCCTTACGACAAAAAATTGTCTTGATGCGACAAAAGATTTACTTTCTCGGCAGCAGTTTCAAAAAAATTTTTCCTAAATTTATAACATCTAGGAATATACGTATGCGGTTTACCAAAGGACTCTCCAAAGATACTGAGAATTGAGACAAAACTACTTCGAATCCCTTTAAGATGCGTCCTGAAGGAAATGTTCTTCTACATAAACAAATGTGTGTCAAAAGAACGTCACTGTGTTCAGTATCTGGAGAACGCCTTTGGGGGAGGATAGTATACGAATCAATAGTCATTTGCAATGATATTCGGCGCAATATCAAAAATAACCTAAAAACAATGTTTGACTGATTTCAATCAAAATCAAGACGCAAAAGGGTCGATTTCCGCGATAATATCAATAATTCTGAGAATCACGGCGCTCTAAAGAGATCAGGAGTTACTGTGTTAGGTGGCGTTAAGCTTTCGGATGATGCGCGTTCATTATTAGAATTGAATTCAAGTTTTGCGCCTAGTCAACCCATTTTCAAATTAACCCTACGCGAGATCGTAGGCAGTCTACAAGAACTTCAAAATCAACTGCGCTACAAGGCTAGATTAGAAGGCTTAGGTAACGAAAAACAAATAGGGCACTACCACCCATTCCCTTCCCGCAAGCTTTTTACAAGGAAGAATAATTAAATGGCGAACTCGACCCTATTTTCCTTATCCAAACGAAATTCTGCAAATATTCAACCACTTTTGGCAAAAAAAAAAATCCAGCTCCAATCTGACACACAAACAAAAACAAGGTTTGTCCAAAATTAAGGAACTCGTTGGATCAAAATCAGTTTGTCTATCCGTAAGTGGTAAAGGTTTGGAATTTTGTAATAATTTCGCATCAGTTGGATGTCGAATTAACGCAGAAACATCTTCAGGATGTCTCCCTGTACCGTCTACCCTCTGAGAAGAAATATAAACGCCATTACCAAAATTTGAACAAAGAGTGGGTAAGCACGGCAAGGGCAGAAGGTTAGAAACTTCAGTTATCTCTCTACTCAAGAACAATAATCACTCTGTCCGATCCTATACCTACTTATAAAATCACACAAACTAACATCTACTGATGATCTGGTGTCAACCGATTCATCAACATACAAGGTTAGACCTATCATCAGTTGCATAGGCGGACCAACGGATAGAACAACGTGGTTTCTAAACCTTGTTTTTACTCAGGTGCTTGAATTAATACCATCCCATCTACCCATTACTAAATGTTCCTAGATCACCTACGTTGCGCTCAACCAAACAACTTGCACGTAATGGAGTCACTTGAAGTCACCTCACTCTGTACAAACGAATCATATGACTCTGCAATGCAAGCCATTTTTGAACTTCTGAAAGAAAATGAACATATAGTAAACATGTATGACTTCTCAGTTTAACAACTAATGGCTCTCCTAAAACAATGTCATAGTTGTTCAATCCTTCGGTGGCCGGGTAAATACTTCACACAGCTCAAGGGGG